TCCACTTTCTTGAGATCACTCTTCTACTTAGGTTGGCTTGGGAATCATTCCTGATTTGTAATAACACGTGGTCTGAACTTTTGTTGTTATACAGATTGCAATTGTTTTCCACACCTCGTTGCGATTAACTAATGATAGTCGTAGGAAGCTTGCTTCTGGGAGGATTACCAATTTGATTTCAACTAATGTGGAGTCCCTTCAGGTATACTTTTGTGTTGGACTTGCTCATTGTTACAAAGGATGGAAGGACTAAAGGAAGAAGTGACATGTGTGGATACCATGCATGCTGGCCATTCATGTCCATCTTTTTTGCACCCTTCTAATTTAGTTTGTACATTTGCAGCAAGTGTTCCTTGTCCTTGTCATAATCAGGGAGGTGTGCTTCACATCAAGGCCATAGATCACCACAACATGCTGATGCGCTGAACTGAACTTCAGGAATAGCTAAATAACTCCTAGGTGAGATGCTCCCCCCCTCTAGCACCTGTTTATCTTTCTTTTGATATAAATATGACAAATTTTATCCATCTAGATTAACAAGAGATACAAATATGACAAATTTTATCCATCTAGATTATGGAGGTAGCTTGGTCAGAATTTCTAATCTGAATATCTACATTTGCAGGTTTGCTCTAATGGTTGTTGACAGTGCCACAGCTCTGTACAGAACTGATTTCTCACGAAGAGGAGAGCTATCAGCTAGGCAAATGCATATGGCTTCAGAAGTTAGCAGATGAGGTTGGTATAAAATTGTTATTATTTTTTTTGTCTTCAAGAACACCAAGTCTTCTCTTTATGGGTTTTGTCTTAGCTTTCAGTCAAATGAAAATGCTGTTGCCACTGGATATCCCTTCATGATTTTTTGCTTTTCTTAATTTGATTTGATTGATCATGGCAGTTTGGAGTTGCTGTGGTTATCACCAATCAAGTAGTAGCACAAGTGGATGGCTCAACTATGTTTGCCGGACCACAGATCAAGCCCATTGGTGGTAACATCATGGCTCATGCTTCCACAACAAGGTACTGTACATTATACCAGTTATCACGAACTAACTGGTTATCTCCAAGACCCAGGTTCTGTTCTGTTCCTATCCATATCATTTATTAAAATGTTGATACTGCCTCCAACTCTCCATCGGGCTCGCTCTTCGCAAGGGAAGAGGGGAGGAGCGGATTTGTAAAGTAATAAGCTCTCCCTGCCTGGCTGAAGCTGAAGCGAGGTTTCAGATAGCTTCTTAAGGTGTTGCAGATGTCAAGGATTGAGGCCGTCTTATCTCTGCATACAGTGTACAGTGCTTCGTCTCCGGTGCTTGTCTTAACTCAGCCACTAGCATTCAAAGTATCTTTTCTTCCGTGTTTACTTTACTGCACGCTAGCAAATTTGGTAACCTAGTGTTTGCTGTCTGTTTCATATTATCTTGATTAAGTAAAGCCCTAACTTGTAAATTGCAATGTCCGTGAGTACAACTGGCTAGGAGATCTAAGTATAGTTGTATTGTTCTGTTCCGCACAGTGCTTATTGTGTTGTTAGTTTGGAGGTGCACAAATATAGGAATTGCAAATCCACTTGTGTAGTGTATCAGTATTATAGTATGATTTATATTACTCTACTTCCTGACAATTCTCTTGATTCTAGAGTCTTTCTCGTGCAGTTTATTTGAATAAGATAGTTCTATTGTAAATGCAAATCAACCACGATACAAGTCTTGGATTTCGAGTCAGCTTTGTGCTGCACTTGAATATATGTGTTTCTGTCTTTGGACATAAGTGCGCAGAAACCAGCACTGCACCGCTGGAAAGATGACATAGGCTACCATCTCCTCTTGTGATTAGTATAGTTACTGTTAGTATCATCATTAATGCCCTTGTTGGGTTTCAACTCTAGCCTGCCCCAACTTTCTGGGGACTAAATGGCTTTGTTTTTGTTGTCTTTACTGCCAATGCTTGGTTTCCATTTCTCTATAAAGATGAATTTCATTGTCTTTGAGGCTGTCCCCTTTGTGAAATGGAAACTGATAACATGAATTTCTAAATTTCATTGTCTTTTCAGGCTATTCCCTTTGTGAAATGGAAAATGATAACATGAATTCCTAATACGTCGCTCTACCTGCTGACCGCATCTCCGCCCATGGGGGAGGACACGGCCGCTATCGCCCGGCCTGCGCGGCCTCACGCTGGAGGAGCTCACGACGGCGGTATGTCCATGGAGGACGAGGAGCCCGTAGACTCGCTGGCCTCCGCCATCGTGGACTGAGCGTTCCACCTGTAGCCTGCCCTGCCTTCCTCCTTCGGATCTGCATCGGAGGGGAAGTTGCAGTCCCACTCCCACCTCGATGCACGGGACTCGACGCAGGGGTTAGTGCCGCCATGGCCTCAATGCGTGACGGACGATGGCTGGCACCGTCGCTGCCTAGAGTCTGAGATTTGGAAGGGCCCACATTGATCCAGCAGTTGCGACTCTCGACTCTAGGTACGATTCGATTTGACCGTCTCTTCCCCATTCTCATTGGTTTTTGGTTTTGACCCGTGTTGATTGTGGTTTTGATGGTGATTTGTTTGTGTTGTTCCGAGAACCATTTGTTGTCGAGCTTCATGGACACGTCGGCTAGAAGTGGCAGCGACAGTGATCGGAATGGCAAAAAATAGGACAAGAGCATTCAGCGCTGGGCAAGAAAGGCATGTTCAGGTACGTGGACCGCCTCCTCCACGAATCCACCCGAGCCTTGCGTTACTTTAGCAAATCTAACAACCCCACATGCCTAGGCCAGTGCTTGCATCTTCCGATCCATCTATAGCAGCCAACCAGTATGGGAGTTAACTTGCCCTTCCAAATCAAGAAGGCCTTTTTATATGTCACATCTTTTTGGATGAATTGCTTGATATGCTTTGCCCTGCTACCGGTTGCCAGGCTTTCCTTGCAATAGATAAAAGAGCTATTCTCTGCACATAATTAGTGGATGAATCCTACCTATATATATTAAATGGGAACTTTGCAGATGCATGGATGAATTCTCTCTATTTTCAGTAGTGGTCATGTGTTTTTGAAAAGACATTAGAAAAGCAAGATGCATATGAATAATTTACAGTGGTGGTCACTGAAAAGTAGGATATCGCAATGCTTTCCTGCTTTCCTGGCATGCTCATGCCAATATGTCATGCCTTAGTAGAGCTTCTAAAGTGTGTCAAACTGTATGCTCTTATCTACTTGTTAAAGTTATGTAGATAAAAAAATTCTTAGAAAATGGTGTCCTCAAATTGCAGTTGTTGTTTTAGCAAGGTCGGTTTCTCTTACTATATGGTCAAAAATGATGAAAAAAGTTGTGTTAATTGTGATGTGTATTTTTTGGTGTGCCCACAATACAGTGTGAATCAATTTTCTACTCTGCAGGAGGTAAAACAGTGCATGGTATGGGATCCTCGTTGTCTTCCTAATGCTTTGTAAAGGTGACTTCCTAATGCTTTGTTATCTTTTTTAAATAACAGATTGTTGAAAAGCCTGTAAGCTATTACCACAGAGAGTGTTTTCATGTGCTATGTGACTCCAAATATTATTAATGTGTAGTTGTCTCTTATTTCAGATAAGCATTGAACAATAGGCAATTGAGACCCTGTTTCATTTATAATCAGTTTTTGGATGCCATATGGGTGGTTGGGGTGGTATCCAAAATATTTTTTAACTGCTCCATGGAAATTAAACAAAATCGATGATTTTACTTCTTCATTTTACTACGGAATAAATTTATCTTACCGAAATAGTGATTTTGTTCAGTACAAAAAGAGAAATCAGTGCTAACTGATATGCTGATTTTTTTGGCTTATCTAAAAAGAGTCAGAGTATTCAACTCAAAATAAGATAGATCTTAAACAATATAGAACCATGTGATCCTCTAATATATAAAAAGAGATGTGTGACAGTTGTATCATTTGTACTATTGCAGGTATCTTAGGACCACTCAGTGGTGTTCTTCAATCCATGCTTATGATTTTTTTTGTTTAAAAATACGACTTTTTGTGCTTGTAGCAATGCACGGGCCAATACATATATTACAGTAACTCTATTTCGCAGATTAGAGGAGAAGAAAAGTGAAGGGGAGCAATTTGATCAAAAACAAAAGTGAAAAGTTATAGATTAAAGGAGAACAATAATTGGTTGATCATTTTCTAACATAGATCATCATACAATGCTTCAGTCCCTGGATAAAAAAGGCATATAGGTAACGCTGTTTCATCTTACAATTGATACAAAAGTTAAAGCTCAATTGCCAGTGACCTATGAATCATGACCCATACACTCGATTATATACTTTTAGAACATAACTATTGTATTTGTATATGCTCACTACCCCAACGCTTCAAATTGTTTCTTCATCTTACCAATGTTGTTACATAGCCAATTGTACGTAGCGCTATCTATATCCATAGCGAGATCTAATATCAGGATCTTGACAATGTTAATTGTTGAGAAGAATATGAACAAGGGGAAGAAACTGTTAAATGATAATATTCCCAATGAATATCATCGATAAAGAGGTTCTAGCTCTATGGACAAGTTAATATTACCTGTTAATACATTTTTCATGATAATCAAAAGTACCTTTATTAAACAGTACCGTTATTTATCGTGCGATCTGTGTGTTTTTAGTATAAAAGTTTTGTTGTCCCGTAGCAACGCACGGGCATGCTACCTAGTATAAAATAAAAGGAAAAAAAAGAAAAGGCGGTGGTAGGCCCCACCTGGCAGGCCACGCCTCTTTCAGCGGTGGCTCCACGCGTCTCTGGCCGGCTGGTCCCACTTCCCCACTTCGACCCGGGGGCGCCCTCTCTCTCTGGAACCCTTCCTGTTCCTGGAACCCAGACCTCTCTCAACCCTTCCTCCCCGACCCTCGAGCCCCGAAGGACGCAGAGTGTCCAGAAGCATCCCCCAACCCGGTCCGCGGCGATTGCGCGGAAGCTGGCGGCTGGCGACGCGGGAGAGGGAGAGGCGACGAGGGTAGCTGGAGATGGACGCGGCGGAGAAGCTGCGGTGGCCCTTCTCGGACGGCAGCGTCACCGATTTCCTGGACGCCCGCAGCCTCCACGGCTCCCCCGTAAGGCCCCTCAGAGCAGCAAACCCTTGAAATTTCTCCTAGCGCTTTAGGCGGCATTTGTGCTTTGCTTTGGGATCGAATTGGTCGATTCGTCAGGGTTCGTGCCGGCGAATCGATGGGGCAGGAGTGATTGGCGGGGCGGTTTTGGATGAGTTAGTGGGTGCTGGGTTTCATTTCCGGATCGGTGCTTTTGATTAGGTTGAAACTCACAAGGGTTTGTGGACATGGAGGAACCAGCTGCTGTTCGAGTGCTTTCGATGCGGCAGCCTGATACCAGTAGTTGGATTAAAATAGCGGTTTGCTATATACCTTATCTGTCTTTAGGAATTCATATTCGGGCAACTTCTGAAATGCAGCAGCATCAAGTTGACTTTAGAATTCTTGCTCTTTATGCGGTGCAAATCTGAAACAACCTGCTGAATGTTTAAGGGGAAAGTGAAACACAAAAGAACTCAGATTGATCAATTCTTAGCGACTGTGAGATCTTTAGGTAATTGTGAAATGATATGGCCTTTTATACATATTATATATGCATGGAGCAAAGGATTCATACAGTGATGTTATTTCTCACAAAAAATACCCTATGTTCTGTGTGCAGAGTGTGCATACTGCTCCTTACAAGCTAATATGTGGCATGCTCTTCGCAGTAGATCTTTTTGTCTCAACTTACATATGTATGGTGACTTATGGACCAGTTATAAATACATGGGCATCAATAATTATTTATTTCTTCAGGAAACTGTATTTATAGGAATAAAAGAAGGCAACAAGCATCATGTAAGCCTATGAAGAAACTGATCCAACACCTGAAGCATGTCATCTGTGTTAGAAAGAGAGCAATGAAAACGAACACCAGTTTGTCTATTTACAATCCCCCAACTATCCACATTCTTCTTTACTTATTAGTTACCAGGCAAAGAGGTCTGGTCCAGCATCACCATCAACTGAAACATTCACGACAAAGGGCTTTCTTTTATTGGAATTTGATTTTATATAGATCAGCAACTGCTTTCCTGGCAGCATTACATGGTTAGATATTACTCCCTCCATTCCAAATTATAAGTCATTTTGGCTTTTCTAGATGCATAACTTTTGCTATGTATCTAGATATACACTATGTCTAGATACATACCTTTTACTATGTATCTAGAAAAGACAAAAAAAGGGCAGACCCAGTGCCGGAGGCTCCCACATGAGTGGGGTCTGGGGAAGGGATAAACCGAGACATGCCTTTCCCACGCAAAATCTGCGGAGAGGTTGCTTCGAACCCACGACCTGGTGACTCAGTGAGACAGCTCTCACCACTGCACCAGGCCTGCCCTTCGTATCTAGAAAAGACAGACCGACTTAATTTGAAATGGAGGGAGCATATCTTGAATTATCAGGACACTTAATTGTATTTTTTTTACAGAGGTTAATTGTATCGTTTGTACTGTTCTTCTTTGCTCCTGCATTCTGTAATTGTGCATATCTTACTTATGGTTTAAGCCAAAGCATAATTCAAGTGCAACTAATATTTTCTCCTTTGCAGGACATTAAGAAAAAAGTACAGTTCCATTCTTCTCTAGTGCAAAAGCTTGCTTTGGAAAAGGAGATGGAGGTATCTAACTAACATTTTCATTCAGTGTCTTATCATGTGCATTAATATATATGAATGAATCTCTTGTTGGCGTGCTGGAATTTATGTGTGCTGTTGAGTAAAAAGCTGAAGTCACTTCCTCTTTGCTTGCTTTTTACGATGCTTCTTTCTTTTGTGGTATTGAACAGGGTCACGCAGGTTGCGTGAATGCTATCGCATGGAACTCAAGTGGTTCGCTTCTTGTATCAGGATCAGATGACACTAGAGTAAGCCTAGATTGGTTAGCTAATACGATTATTTTTTTCATGATCTTTTTTATTTATTTGGGTTCTCACTTCTCTATCTGAACTATAGTACCTGAGAGTGGCTTTGAGAGATTTATGAACTTCTTTTGTCTTTTGCATCTATATGCTTTGGTCAGAAGGACTAAGTTTGTAAGTCATAAGGTTAAATGGTAATATCTATTGATATAGGTAGTGCATGGTAGTCTTTTCTTTTATATGTGACAGGACAGACCATTGTGGTTAATTGTATCGTGGATCTGATCTTTGAAAGGTGGCATGTTAGTGTGTTTATGCTTTTACAAACATAAGAAGTTATATCTTGATTTTCATTTGGGTATCTGGATTTTAAGCTGTGGACCAAAGGAATAAAAAGTTTTTCTTTAGGAACGAGACCATCTTCTTGTGAAAAGAGACTTTGCTTCAGTAGCCCTTAGATATTTCCTATGTGATTTGCTTTAATATTTTATGGTATGACCTCGAAGTAGGAGAAGATTCTTGACAAATGTTTTGTATTGGTGACTACTTGTTCTGCAGATTAACATCTGGAATTATAATAACCGAGAGCTGGTGCATGATATTGACACTGGCCATTCTGCAAATATCTTTTGCACAAAGTTTGTCCCGGAAACATGTGATGAGGTAGTAGTCTCTGGAGCAGGAGATGCAGAGGTACTCCTACCTCCTACCTCTTTCTTTTTGTTTTTAATAATTTTGTATTCCCTATTATATTGGGTCTTTCTTCAACTCAGTTACTAATTCTTTTCCAGGTTCGTGTTTTCAATATGTCTCGATTAAGTGGCAGAAGGCCTAGAGAAATTTCTATGGAACCAACAGCGGTTTACCAGTGTCACTCGAGAAGGGTCAAGAAACTAGCTGTAAGTTAGCATGCTGATGGGCCATTATTTCGTATTTGAAATTCTAGAGCATGCCAAAATTTGCATTTAATTTTGACAAAATTCTGAAAGAAGTCCTGGATGAACGGCTTTTTGGAAAACTTGAACTTATTCTTTAGGAGAACAGCTGACAGCCTGACATATTGCACCGCTCTAAATTTGTTCTCCGTATCTGAATGTTTAGACATTGATGTGTTGCATTTTCTGTCTTATCATTTGAGATGTGTTCTGCTCACCCTTGCACTTATATTTTCTACTTTTTTGAGCCTCTGCATCATTCGGTAATACTTTTGTTTGTTGCCACATGTAGGTTGAAGTTGGCAATCCTAACGTAGTGTGGAGTGCAAGCGAGGATGGTACTCTGAGACAACATGATTTTCGGGAGTGTAGTTCCTGTCCTCGTGCAGGATCTGCTAACCAGGAATGCCGTAATGTGCTTGTGAGCATTCTGTACTTCTTTCCTTGCTGTGTTCTACTTGTGTTTGCTTCACTACATTCTTGACATGGAGCATGTCATTTTAGTCTGTCCAGCTTATGCTGTTCAATTTTTGTCAATAACTTTTCCCTTGTTTTAGATATTTCGAAATATAATAACGGCAATCCAAATTATACTTTGGGGGTATTTTGTTTTTTTTATTTGAAATGTTATGTTCGTAATTTACTTTAGTTTTTTTAGAACTTCTGGAGGTATCTGGATCTGCTTATTAATTGATTTATACCAGTAGTCCATTTTTTCTCCTTCTGGATTCTATTTTGCTTGAAGAATGAAGATAAATGCTTGCTAATAATATTAGCTGATCTAGTAATGGACGTGGTTCTGATTTTATTTTCTGCACTACACATTTTTGGCAGCTTGATCTACGGTGTGGAGCAAAGAAGTCTTTAGCTGATCTACCCAAACATCCATTGGCACTGAAGTCTTGTGACATTAGCTCTGTTTGTCCCCATCAAATCCTTGTTGGCGGGAGGTAACCTAGCTTCTTGTTATCAACAGTCAGTACATAATGAGCCTTTTGTGTTTTTATACCTGACTAATGACTAGCATTTCTCTGCTACATGATGTTCATGCAGTGATGCATTTGCTAGGCTGTACGATAGGAGAATGCTTCCACCATTGAGCTCGTGTCAAACCAAAAAGAAGCCGCCGCCATGCGTTAAAATGTTCTGCCCATTGCATCTTGCTGACAGTGTGAGTTCATTCTTTCATTTGATTGTTATGCTGTGTTGTTTCAGTTGCTTATGATGAAGTTGGCGACCATTGTAGCTTTGCTTGTATGAAGTCAATAATTATAAATCCTATATGTATGTGCTACAAAAGTTATCATGCGAGAGGGAAACATGGTAAAGTTAAATTCTTTTTTTCTGATTCCTCCCTTGAACCAGAGAGCATTTGTAAAATGGTGTGGTCAGTTTCAATAGTTCTGTTAGCCTTATTATGGTAAAATTGCCTCCATACCATTAAACTACTGTGATGATTGCCAAAATACAATCCAAAGTTGTGTCACTGCCAAAACATCTGCTGGATGCCGGACCCACTGGTCATAGACACAACGATGCTATTTTGGTGATGTCATAACTCATAACTTTGGTTGGTATTTTGGCAACTGGGTTTCGACTTCATGCCATAATGGCAATGAGTCTTAAGTTTTAACTGTCTTATTTTATACTCCCCCGTTCCAAATTTTAAGTTGTTTTGGCTTTTCTAGATACATACCTTTTGCTATGTATCTAGACATAGTGTATATTTGGATAGCAAAAGTGATGTACTTAGAAAAGCTAGAACGACTTATAATTTGGAACTGAGGGAGTAGAAAATACTAGTTCTAGTGCTTTTATGCTTGTTAGCAGTACGCCACTTCAATGAGTTTTTAGTTTCACATTTGTTATACCCTTAACTATAGTTGTGTTCTTCTCGTTGACTTTCTGCCCCCGCTTTGTTAGCAGAAGAAGACATATTTGCACCTTACACATGTTGCATTCAGCCCAAATGGGAAGGAGGTTCTTTTAAGTTACAGTGGTGAACATGTTTATCTGTTTGATGTTGACCCAGGTATTATGAAATAACTCACTTTGTGCCTTTTTGTCACATCTACTATACACTTCTAGTCTATGTGCCACTGTTTCAATTCAATGACATATACAATATGACTTGTTTATAATGTTATCTGTTCAGATAATATGAGTTCAGTTAGATACACAGCAGACTATGTACGGGAGCAATTATTTGTACCCCCTTTTCACAAAGTACCAGCAAAAGAACATGCAAAAGAAAAGAAGGCTTCAGTAAATACAACTTCAAGAAATTTGTCTAGGGTGAGAAAAATGACATCACCATGTAATATCTGTATCTTGGTCTGCGACACATATTGAACCCCTGTGCCTTTCTTGGCGCCCGTTTCAGGTAGATATGTGCAAGAAATTTATGCAAGTCGCAACCAGATCTCTGGAGACAGACAAGAACTTAATGCGTGGGATTGAAGCATGCAGTGAAGTTCTTGAATCAATAAAACCTGATATTGATGATGACATGAGGCATGAGTTCTTGTGTACTCGAGCAGCATTGTACCTAAAGGTCTGTCTGCTTTCTTTATCATTTGTGAGAGCTCTGTTCCACATTAAAAGTAGGGATCATAGAATTTGATCTACAGAGGAAGTGGAAAAATGATGTTTACATGGCGATTCGAGATTGCAATAGAGCGCGGAAGATTGATGCCACATCATATCAGGCACACTTACATATGGCTGAGGCACTATTGCAGGTACGCATCAGTAAATCACTCAGAATAACATATGGATTTACTGTGAAATAGTCTGGTACTTCTGTATTTATACGGAATAGCCTTCCTTGAGTATGTTCTTTTAGAATGTTAAGTTTCACACTAGCATGAAGGGTTTGATAAATTTATAAGTTTTTATGTTCTCCTATTCCTTCTCAGGGAAATATGGTCATAAACAATCTCTTACTTTAGGGGCCTTAATTATCCCAATAAGCTGTCCTTTTTTGTTTAATTATGTCATCTGCTTTTGGTTTTGTTAGTCCTGTATTGAATATAGTTGGTTTTAAAATTGTTGACGTTGGAACTTGCTAATGGAATTCAAATCCTCGTTTAAATGAGCTTGCGAAATAGGATGACAATAACCGTCCATCTCATAAATAACTGCCATGCCTTGTGTAGTTAGGGAGACTGAAGGAGGCATCTGAGTATGCAGAGGCAGCAAATAGTCTTCTTCCGCCTCATTGGCAATTGAGGGAGCAGGTGGATGATTTCAAGCAACGCGTTGCTTCAGGTGAGTACATGCACAATAACAGCATAAACTATTTATTTTGTTGTGTAGCTTTAGCTTATGTGCTGATTATTTTGGAGATTATGTGCATTCTAAATGGCCAAGAAGACGCTTTCCTCGTGTCTAATGAACTGTGTTTATTAATCTTCCGTATATGGTAGCCGTTTCCATGAATATATTTAGGCTGTTCACTGATAAACAGATGAACTTAGAATTTACTTCTTGTGAACATGCATTTGCACTTTTGTTCATCTGTCCGTTATTCTTCTTTCTACTTTCATGCCTTGGGTGTTGAAGTCGAGGAATTGAAATTTTAAACATGTTGCTCTTTTATATTTTCTTGGATTTCTTTTGTGCAAGCAGCTGAGCTTGAGAAGAACAGAACAGATCAAAATGGGAACTCCAAAGCTGATACTCATGGAAAATTACGCTCATTGAGTGATATATTATTTAGACCCGATGTTGGTGGTTCCTCACAGGAGGGACGAGAAGACTCAGATTATGATGATGAAATGGAATTGGACTACGAGACATCGGTATCTGGTGATGAAAGCCGAGAGAATGATCAAGGTGTCTTCCGGGGTAGTTTAAGTTTCCGATTTCATCAAAGAGAGGATCAAACCAATGAACACACTGATGAGAATGGGTCAATCGAGTCTGCTCAAAACGACGATTCTGCTTTTCAGGTATTCTTTTTTCCTTTATTCTTACAGTTTCTTTCTATACCTAATAACGTGTATGTATTTAATGCTGTTGGCCTGTTGCATTGATTTTCACAAATTGTTCAAATTGTGCAATGCAGTCAGATGTTGCCATTGATATGAAACAAAGATATGTTGCACACTGCAATGTAGGGACAGATATAAAACAAGCCAGCTTTCTTGGTGAGCAAGGTTAGGCTATTTTTTGTTGCATTGTTGTATTTTTTTTCATCTGCGGATTTTATAATAACAGAAACCTTTCATGTAAGAGTAAGAGAGAATTGTTCTATGTTGTACTCCCTCCGTCTCAAAATAAGTGCTCATCTCGTACGTCAAGGAGTCAATTAATCTTAAGTTTGGCTAGATTTGCAGAAAATAGTATCAACATTTGTATTTCTAAATAGGTTTACTATGAAAATATATGACGTGATTATTTGGTACCATGAACATTAATAAAATTTTTTTGTATATATTTAGTCAAGCTTAAGACTTAAGATGAGCACTTATTTTGGGATGGAGGAAGTAGCCTTTAGTTAAATACTGTTGTTTTGAAGGCAATAAAAAGATCTGGAGTCTGGAGTCTGGACTTACAGTAGTACCTAAAATTTACTGTGCATAACTGCCTCCATTGACTCTGCCTTATGAGTTTCATGAAATAAACATAGCTCGGGTCAATAAAAATAGTAAACGTTCATGCTGTGTTAACATATTGAAATGACCAATCTTCCTGTGAAACAACCTAATTGGATTCAAAATTTGTTGGTTAAGGTGAGCTTGTCCGTGTGGTTCTTGACTCTCTTGTGCTTTATTCCTCTTACAACAGGGGAGTTCATTGCCAGTGGAAGTGATGATGGTAGATGGTTCATATGGGAGAAGAGAACAGGAAGGCTTATTAAAATGCTTGCAGGGGATGGAGCTGGTAATTATATTTCAACTTCCTTTTCTGATACCTTTTTAATACTGCTTCTCATGTGTTTTACGTTTTCCATAGTCGTGAACTGCATACAGTCTCATCCCTTTGATTGTGCCGTTGCAACAAGCGGAATCGATAACACGATAAAGGTATATAATCTATATTTCTAGTTGCAATTGATTATAGAATACAGCGATGTTTCCCACATTCCATTAAATAACTTCTATGTTCATATATGCAACAACTGTATCTCTGACATGTTGGCCCTGGTCCTTCATACTTACAATGAGTGAATGGTTGTGACATGTCATTGTTCAGTGGTACTCCCTCCGTTCCAAATTATAAGACTTTTTGGTTTTTGTAGATACATTGTTTTATTATGTATATAGACATAGTGTATATCTAAGTGCATAGCAAACGCTATGTATCTAGAGCCAAAACGTCTTATGATAGGTTCACATATTCTACTGAAGCACTTAATGGCTCTCTGTTTTTATTTTGTTATTAGCTATGGACACCCGATGCAAATGCTACATCTATGGTTGCTGGACCAGAACCTGATGTATTAAGTGCCATAGAGAATAATCAGCGGAAGTTATGTCGGAACCGTCAAATTGTACTGTAAGACATCCAAGCTTTACTATGCACTTGATACCTTACCGTGATTGCTGTTCTTCAATCAAATTATCAAAAGTAATATTTGACATGATTCCACCATTTTCTTCCGGTGCTCAGACTATCTTTGAAATTAGGTCAACAATAGATTTTTTTTATTATACATTACCACATACACCTTGTATGTTTGCTTCTGGCTTACTGAACTTTCGTGGTTTTCGTGAATCTTGCAACAATTCAATTTGATTCTAGAAGGAGAAAGAATAGCCAAATTGAATTATATAAACACAATGTACTCTCCTTGGCTGATGTTACTCACCCTGCCATTACTTGGGTCTAATGTAAATATGTAATGACATTAACTCAGCACAGTGTGTTTGTATTATCTTTTAGTTCTGATTTGGAAAAGACTACATGCTATATGCAGGCCTTTTGAATTTTTGGAACGATTTCGGATGCATGAGTTTTCAGAAGGTTTCGAGTGTGCCCAGAGCTGATTTACTATTGCTGGAGTTGCTGAGGTACTTGTATTCACATAAAAGTTTAAGGCATCCAAAGGAATCAGTTTGCTAAAGTGAGCTGAGCACAATTACACCTTTTGTTTTAGCTCTTCCAGGAAAAGGGTTATAGTTGGAAGAATGATATCATCCAAGCTACAAGCAGCCTATGTTTGAATTAGTGAAATGGCAAGGCCTTGTTGCAGTTATAGAGTGTAGACACACCTGGATAGATAAGCAGGTGTGCCGGTGCTGAAACTATTACTTGAGATGTCAATAAACACTGGAATTATGTTGTGGTTTGGGGTGGTATAATGCTTCATACGCGTGTGTAATGCTGTGTGGATTCATTCCCTTGTACAGATTGTAGATAGGTGAAACTCTGCAATAAGTGAAAATCACAGATGTACATGTGCAGTATTCTTGTCTCTGCGTGCCGCAGTTAGGTCATGCTAGTTTGTGGTTGACGTTTGGGGTATATTTTCCCTTGAAGACTTAATGGATGTGGTGTAGAAACTGCGTTATTGTATAGCACTGTTACTTTGTTATATATGTTTTGTCTATTTTCTTGGGTTTAGGTAAGGTGTATTTCCTTTTGTTTGTGCTGCGTACGTTAAGGTTACGAATATCCAGCTTTTGACGTATGATGAATAATCAATGCATGAGACCTTTAGAGATGACCTTTGTGTGGAGATATGATGTCAAATTTGAGTGATTGGACGTTCGGACAATTTTCCAAATGTATTGGTCACATCAAAATCGAATTTGCTATAAAAGTTGCTTTTAAAAACATAATGTTTTTCACTCTTTGATGTAAAAGTTGGTTGTTAGAGCTGTCTAATGATATATTATGTCTTTTGTAAATGATGAAGAATATTCTTGTATGGAATGGTGTGTTCGAAAACCACAGCAGCTCGGTCTGTTTGTTTGAACTTATTGGTTTGACTTATCAGTTATGATATATTATTTTTTTTTCACAACAAAATAGTCGATTTATCAGCTTAAAAAAAACATAGCATCACGCAGCCTCGGTTTCCCGTGGCTGTTGTGTGTTGTATACCACTCAGGGAGTAGGGGACGGGACCATGTGGTCCTTCCTTGCCGGTCCTATCCGGAAGGCTCTAGGTAGCCTCTAGCAATACTTGAGCGATACCAATACGCTTGCAGCTAATGCCCCGCTACTTCTAATAGGTTCAGCAACGAACGCCCGTCCACTTGCCCACTACCTTCTGCCGGTGGCATGTCGGCGTGGCGAGGCCAGCCGGCGGATTAGACCTCAACTTGTGTCTCTCAACTTGCACGCCTGCCGCTGCAAAAAAAATAGGTTCATCGACGCAAGAGTCAAGACAAAGAATGATATGGTAATCTCAGCATTACGTGCATGCGGGCACCCATCACTATCAATTCATCAGAAGAAGTCGAAATTTGCCACTAAGCTAGTTTAGTTAACGTGAAGCACTAGCTCGCGTCTAACAACTCTCCCCGAACTCCAATAAAAATTTCATTCCCATTTAATAAGATGCCACCTTAACAAAAACGATACTTACAATTTAAAACGAAAAGAAGTACAATAATCTATCTAGCACTGAAAAATTGAAAATACCCTAGTCACATTCGGATGGGCTGGCCGGTCGAAGTTATTGCCACATCGGATCAACGTGGGCCCCGTACCTTCCTATTGGCTGTCGCGGTCGCGTCATGTAGAGGGGTCAAACATGGACCCCAGTACCCCTCTACCTCCGCCCCCGCGTTCGCTCGCAATTTACACGGGATGCCATCGCCTCGTTTGCTTTAGGCCCACAGGCCAGCGTGCAGCCAGCAAGGTCGACCACCCTCCTCTCGCCGCACGGCACCACGTGGATCTGACAGGCGGACGGTAGCTTCTCGTATCGTGAAGGCCGGCCCACGTTTACCCGGCCGTCCAACGATGTCCATCCACCCAGCAGCAATTATTCCTCAGAGGAAAGGGTTTGGGCCTCGATGCCGTCCTATTCACGGTCTTGCCACTCACAAGGACGTCTTGTTTGTTTGTTCTGCTATGATTATTTTATTTTTTCATGAGGTGATTTTTTGCGCTGGCCCCTTGTAAGTTATGCTATTCATGTGGCTCCTTTTTTAGTCCATGGCCGACCTGCCCACCGTGGCTGTTAATTATTTTTTTAGTCTATGGTAATGAACGACAGAGCTAGCCTTAGTGTAGTCATGAAAGCATGTTGTGTATTTTTTTTACAACGACGGCTTCAATTGATCTGCAAGCTCCTATGGTTTTGATAGAAAGAAAAAAAAACTTGATCCTAACCTTGAATATGGAAAAGAACTGGAGCAAATATAGAAAAACTCAGTTCGTCTTATATGAAGACATAATACATGAGCCTGTACAATATCTTTTTTGAAATTTAGAATTTGCTAGTTCAGTTTTGTTGGATCAAAATTCTCATGCTTGAAGCAAATCGGCTGGTATCATTCACAGCAGCTGCTCAGTTTAGACACAAAAAGCTGTTAATACCATAGATGTTTGCAGGCCAAGCACCGTCTAGAAAGACAAACGAACAGGTCAAAAAGGTAAAACTACAGACAGCCTGTTCGCTGGTTGGTTTCTGGGCTGATAAGCCTGACTAATGCTGATTTATTGTAAGAGAAAAACACTGTTGGCTGGCTAATAAGTCCTGACTGAAACCAATAATCGAACAGGCTGAAAATCTGAACGCGTAGACTGCAAAAACCAACCACTGAATGAAGAGTCTATCTACTATACAACCATGTGTTTTATGTAATTTCTAACACATAAATTTTTTTGCACTATAGGATTAAGATTCAACAACCTACACCTTTCTTCTACCTCCAGCCTTCACAGATCACAGATCACAGATCACATTTTTTTCTTCTATGAAAGCACAAATCACAGATCCGTCGCCGCAGCCACCGCCATGGCGGTGCGGGCGCCGGGGCGAGCTCGCCGGTCACCGTCACTGGCGCCGGTGGTCACCGGTGAGAAAGAGAGGAAGAGAGATAAAAAAAAAATTTATGTGTTTTTTTTCAAGCTCATGCGTGTTCTATAGCATTTCTGCTGAATAAAATATTACGGAAAATCTTTACCGGCCATGGCGGGGAGAGGGGGACAAAAGAGGGCAGCTTCCGCAAGATCTTGAGACGTGTGAGGACTGCACAAGACACCGCATCAGGCACCAGCAGCACCACCACCTTTAATTCCTGCCTCGTGCGTCCAGCCACCCTCCCCAGGACATCCACCCCACAAGTTTGCCAACACCATCGTCTCACCATCCCGGAGGAGCGACGAGAAATCAAGCGACCGAGCCGCAAGCTACCAGTCGAGCGCGCGGCCCTGGGTTCGATCCGGCAGCCGATCGATCGCATGCGGCACCTACTGATGCTCCACGCATCCGTCCCCTGAGATCTCGATCGATTGCTCCATGGGGAGCGGCAAGGCGTCGTCCCCGCCAGGCGCCCCCGCTGCCGGCGGGAGCGGCTCGCCGCCGGGCGGCGCCGTCGTCTGCTGCATGTGCGGCGACCGGGGCCTCCTGCCCGAGCTCTTCCGCTGCTCCGCCTGCTCCGTCCGCTCCCAGCACACGTACGTGCATCCATCCACCCTCCGGTCTCGTCTCTCTAGTCAATCAATTTTATTTATCTTACAATGCGCGTTCGTCGTCGCTCATGTCCGTACGTGCGGCCGATCCGATCCCTAATTCGACCTGCGCTTGCAGTAGCATCGATTACTGTACTTATGAATATATTAAAATTCCATCGATCTCTTTTATTTGCTTGTGACCGTGCGCATCGGGGATTTGTTCACTTTATTTGCGCGCTTTTATTTGTGAATCGAATCGGGGCCAGATACATGTGCGCTAGGCGCTAGCTAGCTGCTTTGGTTTTATTTCTTGCCCACATATAATACTAGTCCTATTCCTGATAGTTTTAGGAAATTTCTCCAATGAACGCAAAGATGCGTGGTTCTCATGCGCATTCTTGAAGAAGAAAAGCTGTTGAATTCGGAATATAATCTTGAAGAACCACACCATCTATGCTGCTTTGAATCTAGAATGCCCACCACACGATCGAACTGATAGTTCATGAGTTGATGTCAGCCTGCACAACCTTTTTTCTGGACAACACGTGAACCTGCAGAAACTGCTCATTCTCGCCGGCCCCAAGCAGAACTCCAAAAATAAAACCATCTATATCGTTTGTGTACGTGCATCTGATCTCCATCTACCGGGCCGAGACGATCCTTTTCGTCGCCTGTCCTTTTAATTTGCTCCGGACACTTTCCGCACGTCGCCAAATTGTCAAACGAAACGGGGCCTATGCACATTCGCTCGACGTTGATTTTTAAGCCGTGCTATATACATAGCTGATTTTTCTTTCCTTTCAGTTCAAAAAAATATATATCTGATTTTTAGCCGAATCCAACAGCGCCACTGTTTGTTACCTGCGGCTCTTATTTAAATCGGTCCCGTTCACTTCGCTAAAAAAATAAGCCAAAATACTGTTCCGGCTAATTTATCGTGAGAGAAAAACACTGTTACAGTTAAAAAAATAAGCTGAAAAAGACAGATTATAAGAGAAGCGAACCGGACCTTCTTCACGTGAATGTACGACATGTTCACCTCATAATTTTGCATGCAATAACGTACGTACACGCCAGTATATCTATCTATCTATACACACACACGAGCATCTGGCTAATGTTTTACTGTTCACGTATGTGTACGTGATCGTGTATCAGATACTGCACGGATCGGTACCCGAAGGTGGAGTCGTACGGCACCTGCAACTGGTGCCTCAGGGTGGATGGGGGCGTGGCTTCTACTTCTAACTCACCGAGATCCGCCGGCAAAGCGGCTGTCCGGTCGGCTCCTCACGGCGGTGACACGACCGGCAGCGGCAGCGGAAGATTGCCGAAGGTTGCCGCTCGCGGCGACTTTGCATCTTCCAACCTGAGCAAGCCTATCAAGAAGCAGCAGCAGCATGCGCAGCGTCTCTTGCTGCGGCGGTCGGCGTCGGACCTTGGCAGCCGCGTCGTTCGTACCGACCACGACGCGCCTCCGCCGTCTCCCGGCGTCGCGCGTGGCAGGCCGAGGGTCCGGAGGTACAAGCTCCTGGAAGAGGTGATCACTAGCTAGCTAACTAGCCGGCCATACCCCGCCGTGTGGTATCGACGTCGTCGTCGATGACAAGATCGAGTGCGTGTGCGTGTATTAGGTGTATAATACGTGCGTGTGTGTATCTAGCTATATATATGTAGGCGTAGACACGGCATCTTGTGGTGCTGCCATGCATGCATGTAAATCAAGCAGTGTACGTACTACGTGCTGATCGAGATCTCCCAGGTGTTAATCAGGGTGCTCGCGTCGTGTTGTACTTGTACATGAGGAATAATATACTTTCTAATGCGCAGCTCGATCTTGCTATATATCGCTTTGATCGATGATCGATCCCTACTCTCGGTTAGTCAACCAACTAACTGATTAATTTATACAGGGGAGAGAGCTCTGCGTGTCATCTAATTTTGCGATGTACACTGCTTTTAAGCTCAAAGGTAACTGAAGAGAACGCTTTTGTTATTTCATGCATGTATAATTACTGTATACTTGTGTGAGCCTCCATGAACACCTCTCACTCATCTTCTTGCTTGTGATTGATCTAAAGTGAGATTGAGAGAGATCTAGTGCATTTGCTTTGTTGATTTGCATCTAGCGACACTAGTTCATCGGTTGAGCCTTGGTTTTTCTTGTTACTCTCAGTGGTTGCCACACTACTGCAGAAACGTTTTTTAGGGGCGGCTCGTAACCCTTTGTAGGGGCGGTTTGACCAGCCGCCCCTACAAATCGATTTGTAGGGGCGGCTAGTAACATGAGCCGCCTCTACAAATCGATTTGTAGGGGCGGTTCAATCTAGAACCGCCCTTACAGTACGTTTTCGCGTAAAAAAATTCAAATTCGATCAGAACACTGTTTGTTTCCGCGTATTCCATCCAGCATTCGCGATGCCGAATGCCCCGCAACCAGCGTTCCGAACAGCGTTCGCGTTTCCGAACGCCCCGCAACCAACGTTCCGAACCGCGTTCGCGTTGCCGAACGCCCAACGACCAGCGTTCCGAACCCCTTAGACTACAAGCACAAGAGTATTATATAAACTACAATTACAAGTTCAATTCACAAGAATATATACAATCCATCATTAAATATACAAATTCCATAAATATTGTTATCAACGTCCTAGAGCTAGCCTTTCAGTCTCACAAAGGTGTTGGTACTGAGGATTTCTACCTAAGTCAGACTCTCGGTCATGGTAGGCGCCTTTGACGTGTACAATCTGGTCCAATATGAAGTTGCAAATGTCGCCGACGAGCTCTAAGAGTTGGTCATCCTTGTATGGGTCTCTTTTCATTCATTTCTCTTCTTTCCACTACAAGAGAATAAGTTTCGATTTAGTATTTCATACCATGTATGAAGTTTTTATACTACGAGTGAAAAGATTCAAACTTACCCTTAAGGGGTGTCTCCTGTAGGCACCGGTGTTACTCATCATAGAACATATATAGTATCCACAATGTACACTCTCATGCTTCTGTTTGGGGCACTGTGTGTTTTGTATATGAAAATGTTAAGTAATGCTTTTGATAGCCATGTAATGGAGTACTGAAGAAGTAAGTTACACTTACCACACATAGTGTTTTTATAGCCAGCTTTTCCTTCCTTGCTGGATCATGCCTTCCTCGATGATTAGTGACATAGAACCTAAATGCCCTGTTCGAATTATTTTAGCAAATACAACTTGTTAGTATTCAAAAGTGAACGTTACAAGTATGTATACAAACATATAAGGTAATGAGGATTGTGGATATATATACGTCTTGAGAATCAATATGAAGTCTTTGTATGTCACCGGGTCCCTATCTATTGAATCAAAGACCCATGCCATGCTCCTTCCAACATCGACGGCTATACAAATCCAGTGGCTGCTGCATGGATTTAATCATAGAACTAGATAAGCTCTTTTGCATTGAATAAAATATATCGAACAAAGCTTTAAGTATAGAGTTGAACTTACTCGAAGTTGTATGGTAGCCATATAGTAGAGTGTTCTTGGAGAGTTTTGAAAGCCAGGGCAATGTATGCCGCAACCTTAAGGGATTCTTCCCTTAGTTTCGCCATACGGATGTGCTCTTTCTCCTGAAGAGTCTTTGCAGTAGCTAGCTCTTTGGCATCTAGTTTCCACTGTTTAGGATAATTAAAATTTGTTTGGGCTATAGCTTGAGGGTCTATATACCTGGCTTTCACACTTGGTATTTGTTTGACAATGTGCACCTGCATTCTACAAATCACGGCGTGGGTTAGTTACAACAAAATTCAAAGATTACATTCATATCATATCCGGAGGACAAGGACTTACAGGCACCACGTGCAAATTAGATTCATCTCCATTGCTCCCAGGTGAAAGCATGTATGCATGTCATTGAAGTCAAAGACAATTTTCCCGGCTGGGCTTCCAAATGTTCCGGTGGGGAAGCATGCTTATATGAGGTCTATGCTCGTTGGGAGAACACGCAAGTACCAATCATGGAACCTTCTCATTCCAAGTGATAGGCGCTGGATGTCTCGGTTTGGTTGGAAGGGCTTGCCTCTTTCATATGTTTTCGGGCAATCCTTTGACCATTTGATGGCATCAACATTTGGATACTGCTTTGCAATTTGGTGGAGTTTGCTAGTGACGGCCTCCTCAGAACCCCGTGATGGGACTTTTTTAACTTAGTTCTCAGGCTTGAACTGGTCATGGGAATACCACTTGGACACCGACGAAACATCTTTCATCGAAACATAAACTGGCCTTATGGTGATTGGATGCTTCTTTTGAAGTTACCATTCAGGCACGTCCTCATCTTCTTGTGCATCACCTTCTTCAGGAGGCACTCGTTGTTCATGTATTGGCTGTGCTTATTGAGAAGACTGTGGCATCTCATCATGCACTTGCTCGGTACGAGCTAGAGAAGATTGTGGCATCTCATCAGGCACATGCTCGCTAGAAGGCAGGGAAGAATGTGGCATCTCAGGAATATGGGGGTCACGAGACGGTGAAAATATCTCCTCGACCTCAACAACTAACTTCAAATTTGGGAGAGGGGGAGGCGGCGAAGAAGCAGTCAATATAATGTCTTGTTTGTGCTAGAGGATGAACTGCCCCATAACGTCTCCGAGTAATACCAGCCTCTCAGGAGTTGCGTAGTCTATCCTCCACTGCATGAACTCGGGCTTCACGGTATGCACCTCAACTCTAGTGTAGTCCGGCGGTATCTTATTATTGTGGTGTAAGCCACCGGGAGGATGTGATGAGGACATCAACACCGATCATACATCCACGCCGTCCACGCCGACACCTGCTGGTCCTATTACCCATGCTCGTGCTCGAACACTTAATCATCAAGTGAGTTCCTTCTTGAGCTCTTGTCCATCCTATTTAGATCTTGGAGACACGTGCACTCTTGTTTTGATTAGGAATCAAGGAGAAGACCGAAAGGGAAAAGGACTCGCGTAGGCTGGATTCGGACTGCAGCACACCTCCAACTTGCGACGGTCGCCACGGTTACATACGGAGTCGGATTGGGGTGATTCTGGACTTGTTGGAAAGCTAATAAAGTCTACTTTCATACGGATCTGACCTCATACTCATACCTGCTCAGAAACGGCGTCAACAGTCCAAAAATCACCGAGAGGTCTATTCTGTCCAGGGTGCTGCGCCACCTTAAGTTAGCCCAATGGGCTTGTATCGTTTAGAGTCCAGTAGGGACGCGTCCTAGGGTTGGAGCACGACCCAAACTCTCTTGTGGTCGTCCTCCACACGTCATATACCCCTTAGCCGCCACCAGGAACACTTGGGTTTTGTTTAGATCAAGTTTAGCCTTTGCTACTTGCTTGTAGGCGCGCGTGCTGATCCAGCCGCCCGTCTCCTTGTCTTCGGAACCCCACTCATCATAAGATTCAGTTTGAGGCTTTCAAGTTCATCTTGCAAATTCAGTGCTTGTTTCCTTGTTCTTGCTAGTTCTTCGATTGCTTGTAGGACGGGAGCCCTAGTGGCTGGTTGTCGCGCTCCACAAGATCGTGACGGCCTTTGGAGGTGGTGTATCGGTTGCTAAGGCGCGGTCTTGGAAGGCTGTAGTCGGGCCGTGAACGTCATCTCCATCCACCAAATCGAGTGATCTCACGCCTCTCATCGAAAGATCGTCCATAAACCCTAGCGGGTTCATATCAGGATGTGCCACACCCGTTGCCACCTCCATCATAGTGTTCTGCCGGCCGCTGAGAAACACCAAGGTGCAACTAGTTGGTTCCCGTATGAGATCGACGGGGGTTGTGGCTGCAGTGGAACCTTGGCTGCTAGGAACTTTTGGAGGGCTGCCAACTAATGCCAGTTCTCCTGGCGGCGTCACTAATATCTGTGGCTCCGTAGATAGTCCTTGCTCCTCCAGCGCCTTCACAACTAGAGCCTTCACTTGGAGCTCAAGATTAGTCTCCCGATCTCTACTATGTTTCTTGTACATGTGCATGTCCTCTTCTAATCCTTGCTTCCGGGTCGTCCTTTTCCCTAGCCCCCTGGTGCGGTTTGTGTGCTCCTTGTTTCCCAAGCCAAGGCTAAGCTCGTCCCTCTCTCTTGAAGGATCGAATGAGCCCTTCTCCTTGTCTTTAGCATATTTCAGTATCCTTGATACTGTCTCTTGGGTCTCCATCTTATCAAACTTAATATTATCGCCGGATGATTCTGTACTCCTCGCATATATCCAATTCCTTGAGTGTACCTTCAAATTTGTCACATCGATATTCCCAGCAGCTACGGACCTCTTCGTCTATCTTTCTAAACTGCTCTTCCTTAGCATAGTAGCCACCGGGGCCTAGATGATGGTGGTGTTTGTTCCTCTTCGCCAGCTCGGTGTTACGGGCACTTAGCTCCAATGCCTCCGGTGAAGTCTTTTGAGCCACGAGCTCCTTCCATTGACTAGGAGTTATTTTGCCGAACTCATTGAAAGGAGTTAACCCCTTTTGGATATACTTCGTGTTGAGCTCCGACCTCCAACGTCGGAATGACTCTCCCATCATCCTGAAAGCATTTTTTGGAATGAGCTCCGACC